TCCCAGGGCATGGCTCCATTTCACAAGCTCTTTCACCCCGCACGGTTCTAAAATTCAATTTTTTCCGGAAATAGAAATTTAAGAAGCCGTCGCAGGGCCTGACAGGAGACAACAAAAGTAAAAATAAAGATCAAAAGCGAACAACTAGCTTCACTAAAAATGCAGTAATGGTCCCACAACAAAAAGAAAACATGCTGAAGTCAGTAGTTGAAATCAGGGAGAAGTAATGATTTAAAAGTGTGAGTGCAAAAAGGGTGCAGTGAGTTTTCAAAGCTAAAACATAATATTACGCTTCGATCACGATGCTCCAAGTGATTAGTGGGGGTTGCTCGGAAGGAAAAGAGGGAAATGTGGATAGGTAGGGATGACTAATGGGAGGAAGTCGTCTGCTGACAGGCAACTTTATCATTTGTCATCGATTACAAGTGTAAAGTGAAGCGAAAGAACTCGAGCAACGATAGATCACTTCAGGAAGAAAACAAAAAAAAGCACAAGATAACATCTGAGATGTGACACACCAGAACATTAAGATTTCGGGGTTACACTTTAAATCCGAGGGATGAGGCGGGATCATAAGGTTCAACTGGTATCAAATGAGCCCTTTTTCAACCCTCATCATAGTAGCAGTTATTTACAGACCTGTTCGCAGTTTATGGTGAGGCGTGTCAGGGGGTGTGCTGGCGCGACAGTAGCCCGTTTTCCATCAATAGTGGTTGTTCGCCAGGTTCTACATACAAATGGTGGAGAACGGGTTGGTGCCGCGCCAAACTCAGCCTTATGACACGCCCCGGCATTCGCACCGAACAATACTGTAAATGACCGCTCGTATGATGAGGTTTCGAATGAAGCCCCAGTGCTTCCAACTGAACTTCGTGATCACTTAGTCGCGACCAGTGACCATTGAATCAGCAAAGGTGAGGCCGCGTTCATACTTTGCGAATGAAGGAAATTTACGATTCCGGAAAGCGCAAGCAAAGGAAGATTAGGTATCGAGAATCCTATTCAATTCTTGGTGAACGATGCCCAGGAATCGTGTAAATCCTGCCAAAACGCCGATTCTCCAGATCGCCTAACTTTCGTCAATACCTGGAAAGTGTTATATCATCGTCTGGACGTAGTCGATATAATTCGTATTCTCTGCAGCTTCGAGGTGGCAGGAGCAGTTTTGTCGCGGCGACAAGCCCATTCCCCATACATTTGGTCTTCCCGCCTTCAACAAGTACGTCTGGCCGTCGCGCACAAACCCCCGATCCCTTCCCTCCTTGACTGCCCCTAGTGTCTGCAGCGAAGGCGACTGCAAATAGCTGAGGCGGGGATGTCGTAGGGGCTTCTGGAAATACGCCCCGACCTCCGTCGGTGCTACAAATTAACAATTTTCTGATAGTTATTGGAGGGGACCTAATCTTCTCTCCCTTACCCTCCCCAGCGCCTCAGAATCTACGACAGCTTAAGCAGATTTATACGTCGCGACAGCAGCGGCAACTGCCGCATCATAGCGATTATCGTGCGATGCCTCACGGAAGCAGTTGCTTCGGACCCCACAGTCGCATGCGACTCGTCGCGAAGCATACGCGTGCTTAGACAGCGGTTCATACTTTAGCAAACGTTCGCATGGAAATGCACGGATGATCGGCGCCTACACTGCTGCAATAATGCGCCTCCTGCCAGCGATCGGGAAAAAGGTGCATCCCGAGTGTGGTTGGATTTTATCTTGCAGCTGCTCAACTATTAGCAAGGGCTTCCCAATATGGAATTCCACGAATCGTAAAGTATGAAGCGGCCCACGTTACGCAGGCAACGGGTGGTTCATCCCTGAGCGAAATGCTGGGAGCATACTATTCGCACCAGATAAAATAGTTTGATAAGGACTAAAATCGATGGCTATTTGGATAAAATTTTTTCCGCTTCGCTGTAAGTTG